TACATCTACGAAACTATAACGAAACACAAACAGGTGGATAACCGTTCATCCATAAAAATCAATATTTCAGAAAAATGATTGTAACTAAATATGAAGTACCGTAAACCGATAAAATAATTTCCATTACAAAATAACTATCACCTTATAAGACTGTACTTAAGCTATTCATTAAGTTAAAGCTCAAAAAATATAATTATTAACAAGAAAATGCATCAATTTCCATCCATTTTCAATATTTGTAAACGTATCTTAATTAATTATCACAGTAAAAATAACTACAATTTCACATCGAAAATGGAATTACCGATTGTGGACAATTGCACTTACGAAGTTCAAGTATATTAATTATTTTTTTTATAGGATAGGGTGACAAACGAGCACACAGTCCACCTGATGGTAAGTGGTTGCTGCGGCCCATAGACATCTACATCTATCTTCCATTACAAATCAAAATGCAGATGCGTTGTCACCCGTGAGGACTGAGATGGAATGCCTCATTTCCAGTAAAAAGGGTCTCCGGTTCTCTACACTCACCATACGAAATACAGCAGCATTAAGCTACTATTTCACGCTGGTATTCTGTGAGAGCGTGGTCCTTCCCCGGTCGAGCCGACCCATTCGTGCTACAACTATACTACTAATATAATTGCAGCATGGCTCTACCACGTTAATTATTTTCGGCTGAAAGACCATTCGCCTCTTTTTTGATTCGTAAGTAAAATTTTCGGGATTGAGTTATTTCTGCTAAATACTCGTAAACCTTCTAACTTTAAAAATTTTGATGTTATCTAACTTTGACATATTTTGTTTTGATTATTTATTTTTCGGCAACATAAAATTTATGCTAATCATCATTCGCAACTTCTAACATACGGAATTTTATACCTTCGAATAGTTGGTTATTAAGTAACCTTTGACGTCAAGCCAAAACATTTTTCATAAAACATCGCTCATGAATAACCATCTATATGAACGATATATTGATGTTTGAAAGAATTGATGTATCGTTTTCATCCCTAGTCGCACGTCGAATAAGTGCCCTAACTCCCTTAGTGTTATTACACTGCACGGTGGTAAGGGCACTGCAGACCGGGTCCACTTTGACGCCCTATTTAGGGACCCTTACTCACTTTCTTTTATTACACTACCCTGAATCAGGGCGTAGAGACCCTGATCAGGTAGTTATAAACTTATCTGGCTGTAAACTTTTGAAAATATTTTAAAATTTGGGTTGTACGTTTTACATGAAATAGCAATGTTGCAATTTCTTGTGATTTCATTACAATGAGATATTTCATTATTTATAACATTTAAATTTACCTCATTAGCTAGAAATATATGTTTATTTAATATTCAAGTGTATGATTTTAAAATGTCGAGACCATCAAAAGAAAACAAAATAAAATTTGAAATAATAAGTACTTTATATTAAAAAAAAAAACATTACAAAGCATTGTACTTATTTTTAAAGAATTTCCAAGCAAATAAGGTGATAAGAGAAGAGTGTGGTTTGCAAGATGATGTGACCAGGATTGAGGAAGTAATGCTTCGGTGGTTTCGTCATGTGGAAAGAATGAATGAGGAAAGAGTAACAAAGAAAATTTATGTTGCAGAAGTGAATGGCAGAGTCGGAAAGGGACGCCCTAGGGGAAAATTTATCGACCAAATTGGCGATTTATTGAAAACGGGCCAAATTAGGAGTACCCTTAACCGACGAGCATGTGTGCGTAGGTATATGGATGTGAAGGAAGCGAGAGAGGTGTGTTAGGATCGTGCCAAATGGAAGTCTGTAGTCTCTGCCTACCCCTATATATGGGTGACAGGCGTGATAGTTTTATGTATGTACGTATGTAAGGTAACTTTCGGGGTTTTTGATTTTGGAGTTGGTAGCACTGCTCTTATTTTTTGGTCATTGGATCGTAACAAGCGTGTATCTATGTGTTAAATCGATTGAGAAAAGGGGACATGCGGTGCGGTTATTCGGTGCATGCGGACCGGCCCAAAAAAGGTGACGTATATCTGGCTGTCATTGTCACGTTTCTTTTAGAACGAACTGACCTAACGCGCGTTTTATTTATTTTAAAGTGATGAATTTGCAAAAGCTCAATATGGTGATTATATTGCTTCAAATATTTTTTAAATATGAAACTGTTATTAAATGAATTGCTGCGTTACTTACCATAAATTGAAATATAAAATATAACACATTATTCGCGACGTAACGTAAGATTTTACGATGTTTATAGGAACCACAGATAATATTATTTAAGAAACAAAAAACAAAACATATGTGCTGACCTAGAAGTGTGAATAATATCAATATTTAAATATTGTTATCACATCTAAATTGAGATTTTGTAAGTTACGCCTTTCGACACTCTGCTCATATCTGAGGTCATTGTCCGTTTTTCTCAATCGATTTGGCAAATACTATAGTTGGTTTGTGATGGTAACCATAGACTTAGACTGGATGGCAACAACAACAATTTGTGCTTGTATTAAAGTTTTTCAAAACGACTATAAATCAATAGCACGCTAAAGACTATAAACTAGAAATTTCTAGCGCGCTATTAAATACGCTATGTTATAGCGCGCTATTTATAAAAAGTCTGTAGGAGGCCGGCAAGCGCATTAAGTTTAGCAGCACGCTATATCTCGGAGCACGCTACATTACATATCGTTCATTGGATAGAGCGCGTGTTATATTTATTTTGTCCGAGGTGCTATATAAGAACATTGTTTCGTAATAAGCCGCATTTTAGATTAAAATAAAATAAAGTGGTAAAAAAAAATTTAAGAACGCTTTCATACTTTTCAGACTTTTTATAATCCTAAAAATATTTTTAAGGCGTGTACTTTTTAAAACAAAATAAAATTAATCATTTTTTATTAAAATTGATGTAAACGTTATTTTAACCTTATTATAAATTATAAATCAAACGTGTATTTAAAAGTTTATTACTTGTGTATACAAAAATCAACTATTTACAAACACTATTATATAAACTTTTGTATCTATATTTTATTTACATTTAAACACATTAGTTAGGCTTCTTGTAGCAGACAACTGTGTCCTTCGATCACTTATAAATATACAGTATACACTAAATAAATAACGTCTAACACTAAATTAGTTCGCGTGCGATGAATAGCGTGCTGCTAGATTAAATTTGCGTCACACGTCTACTCCCAACAGTGCTGCTGCTAGAACTAATTGCCACTTGATATGAATAGCGCCAAAGCGTCATAGCGTCATAGCGCCATGGCGACTACTTACATAGCACGCGCTATGCGTTATGAAGAGATAGTGCGCTATAATATGGCGCTATGCGCTATATTAACCACCATTAGCTAAAGTTGGGCGTTATAACATACAACAGATAATGTATTTCATTATATATTTGTAATCTTACATCACATTAGAATAATGAACCATTGACTGTTATAATATATTCATTATCGTTAGAAAACGTCATCTGTTTACGTTTACGGTGCAGCCGTCGGCCGGGATGCGGCACCACAATGGGAGTCAATAAAATACTACATTTATTATGCCACAAGGATTGCGTATATAGGATAGCTTACACTAATTTAAACTCTAAGCTAACTTAATAAGAGCTTATTTTACTAACACTAAATTATAACGGTAAACAAAAATATATTATTTCTTTCATTGCTAGCTGTTGCCTGTTGTGCCTGTTATTTAATTTTTTGGCTGTTGTAATATATTAGTGTTCAGTTAGCTGTCTAGCTGAGATGACAATGACACTGTTATCTGTTAAATTATATACGTAATGTTTTGATAGCAGGTCCCCATATTACGTGAAAAAGCTATTGTTGTTTTTGTTTATTTTTCGTTAAGTTTTATTCCTAAAGTAGTTTCCTATAGTAGATTTAGCGTGTTGTATGTAAAAGTGAATAATAATGTCGCGTCAGCATAGCGCAGCCATTTGGAACTATTTTAAGTCTAAGTCCAAAGTGTGGACGAAAAAAAAGCAGTGTGCAATTAAAAAAACTTTATCTTTCAAAAGTACAATTACAAATTTAAAACTTCACCTTAAGCAAAGACACGTAGGAGTGTATGAAGAGTTTTGCCGTTCGGATTTAATATCGGATAGACTCACAAGGCTTACGTCGTCAAAAGTAAACCAAATAATGTTTTTGAATAATAATAATAATAATAATATAATAATAATAAAAATAATGTAACTGAAAAAATGTAAATAATTGTAGATAACTAAAACTTTGACCACAGTTTAAATAATGTAAAAATTCAATCAAAATATACATAACATCCATAAACTTCTAACCACGCCTGAATGAGTTATATTTATTAAAATGTTTGAAAATATGAGTAAATAACAGATACAATAATTACACAGCTTAACATACATTCAGACAGTCCTAAGCCTGTAAAAAGTAGGAAGGGAAGTTCATTAAACTTAACATACATATTTTAAATGATTCTCTTTTAAAACATGAAACACTCAAATGATGCTAATACAACTTAAAAATATTTTTTTTTGTCTTCATATAATACAGTTATAATCGTTATAACAACATACAAAAAAATCCTAACACAGCCAACAACTGAACTGAACTAACCGCGTGTACAATGTAATATTTGAAACTGTTATAATATATTATAGTAGTATACAGTTTAAAATAACAGTTAGAAAAATATATTACAACAACATAACGAATTAGAAAAATATAACAGTTTCGCCCACCTTTACCATTAGCTTGTATGCACAGAGCTTGGTATGCTTGTCATCTTGTCAACTACAAGACGACTACAAAACTAAAACTTCACAAATCGAATCATCGAGTCGCTAAGTGTTACGGTGTTTGCGCTCCATTTATATTGATAACTTCTTAAAATTTTGTCGCAGATGTTCAATAAATTTTCATCTCGTTTTGATTTTTGGGGTTGTTTCAATGCCATGTTCTACGGGCAAGATCGTAGGGGTAGGTTTTGTTCATCATAACGCTTGGGGAGAATGGCTGCGTCGGGTGCCGAAATTGAAGATTTCTTTACCGGACCTTTGGTTTCATGGGTAAGTGCACATCGCAGTCAGTGCCTATAAACTAGAATGAACCGTGAGATAATCTAACTCGGACGTTCCAAGTGATTGAACGTGTGATTGGTTAGAAAGGACCATTTTTATTGTAGTGATTGGTTTGTGTATATTTGCTAAAACAAATTAAATATTTCATAATTTTACTTTAAAGTAGTTTTATTTATATGCAAATGTGATTTTGTCGCGAATATTAAGAAATTCTTCTAAATAATCCATACTTAACATAATCAAGATTTTTTTGTAACTACATTTACTAAAATTACTGCTTTATAATTATTATTTTTATATTCATTAGTAGGTATAGCATATTAACAAACACCAACAACTATTTTCATCCCGATTCCCAGACTTGAGATTTTCTAAAACTAGAACTATTCTTTTAAAATGGCTATGATATAAAATGTAAAAGTTCAGAAGTGAAACTTTCACTATTTGGATTTGTAATGGAAATGTTATTAATATTTATCTATGAAAATGTATTTAATAGGTCCTTATTTGGTAAATTATTTTTAGTTTGATTCCTCTTTTTTACTAATTGTTAACTATAAAGCATAGAGATGTCTCTTAAAGAATATTATAATTAAATATAATTATAGCTTAGCTTTTGTGAAAATCTATACATAAATATTTGCAGTTGAAGTCATGTCTCACAAATCCAGAAAGTCTCAAAGACTATACAGCACTTTTCAATGGAGATATTCTACATCAAGTATATTTACAAATAGACCCAGAACCATCTTACCATATTACAAAACTGACAGGCTTGGAGGACCAAGCATTGATATTAGGTAGAGTGAAGAATTTTGATGCTATAGTCAAAAATGTTAAAAGTCTGTATGATGAAGAATTGGGTATGACTTTATTGGTAGTGCCAGAATGCATATGTTTAGGAAAATCACCTGAATCACGAGATGGTCTGGAAAACATGAAGCTACTAATATTATTACTACTTGGTGCTGCTGTTCAGTGTCCTAATAAGGAGATATTTATTACAAGGATCAAGGAACTTGATGTAGACTTACAGCACAACATTGTGGAATGTATTAAACAGGCAAGTTAAATATTTTTTTTATCTATAATAATTAAGACAGTTAACCTGTAAGCTCTGACAGCGCGCGACATGTTATAATCCCGTTCGCTCGGGACCGTAATGGCGGCAAAATTTGAAAATTAGCAAATTTTTTGCTATATTGCAAATTTTGCTATATTTTCACTTTGAGACAATATTTATGGATAAAACTTACAGGAATTCTTGTTGAATGTATAAACTATCGAATAAAATTATTTTTGGTTGCTAGAAATTGTAATAAAATACGTAAATTACCCTGTATAACTGTATAGTGGTATATACTTCAATTTTAGTGACAAAATTACTACTAATTTGAATTCTACACTTTTGTTTTTAGAGAAATTTATATGAAAATGTTTGGAAATATGTATATTTTTATGTTTTATGTGTTTCCATTCGTTACTCATACCAAAATATTAAAATATAAAGAAATTAAATAATAATATTTTATCTGTGTGACATTTAGTACAATATTTCTAAAATAGTTTTGTGTGAATTTGAAATAAATACAACGTCAAGTTATTTGAAATATGTAAGAAAACTATTTTTACTTACATTTTACACTAAAAATAAATGAGAATGTGAAAAATACCACATTTATGACCCAGCCGCCATAATGGGCCTTCCAGATTTTGAAGCACTTTTGGCAATTTACTTTTCACTTTTTATACCACAAATTATATATATATGTGTTCACTATATTACAAGGAATATAAAAAAGTATAATACTTTCGTTTTTAGTCCAGACACAAATATAAAATTCTATAAAAAAGACGGAGCACCTTCATCAAAACGGCACGTGGAACGCCGAAAGTTCAGAGTGATTTCTTTTTTTTTTCTAAGAAACATTGCCAGGTTATGGTTTAAAATAAAAGAGCATATCTTTGTCTTTGATACTATTATCTATTGCATAGTGTCTTTGGTTTTGTTTAAAACGAAAAAATAGTTTTTTCATAGGTACACATGTTTACATAATTCTGATCAAATTAGATCACTGCTTGGCGGACGTACGGTAGGTATTGTACGATCGAAAGTGCGCATGGCTTGGCTTACAGGTTAAAAAGGATCCAACTTTGTTGTAATTTAGCTTTTCATTCAATGAGGCTCATTGTAACAGTCGCTTTGGAATGTTTTGACATAATACACTGACCTATTTTTGACCTGAATTTAGATTGGAGGCTTCTTTTATTACTATGTCCGTATCTTATCTGCTTTTATACTACACTGCTGGTATCTAAACACATGCCAGTGTATCAGCCAAGTTGGGAAAAGTTAATGCACAGGCAGTGTGTATATTAACACTCTATTTTGATTTGCATTCTACCTATCTCCCTCCCTATAACTCAAAAACTTACTGAAGTAATATTAACCCACTTAGTATTAATACACACTAGTAATTTTGCAAGTCTAAGAAGCTTATCTAGAATTCTAAATTTCAAAAACTCTTTTTTTTATAGAATTAGGTGACAAACAAGCACACAGACCACCTGATGGTGAATGGACACTGTGGCCCGTAGATATCTTCATTAATCCTCGGGTAAGAATCAAAATGCAAATGCATTGTCATCCCTGAGGACTAAGATTGAATGCATCGTTTCCAGTAAAAAGGGTCTCTGGTTTTCTAAACTCACCATACTAAACACAGCAGCATTAAGCTGCTATTTTATGCTAGTATTCTGTGAGAGTTGTACAACCCCGATCGAGCTATCCAATTCATGCTACAACTATAATATAGCTGCAGTGTGGCTCTACCATTGCAATTATTAAACCTATTACAGTTTTTGAGTTATAAAGGTCCAAAAATTTGAAGTGTCAATCTACCACATTCTTGGCGGTGAAGGAAAATATCACAAAGGAATCTGTATGTCTGAGAAGTTAAAAAATATTTTTATATGTGAAGGTGGTCAATCAGAGTTGGGTTAGACAGGCGTAGTAATGGCTTGAATGATGGCTACTTTTTACTTTCATAGGGCTATTATGCAGTTATTATGTTATTCATGCTTTCAGAGATATTACATTTTTTCGTTTTATTTCTACTGCAAATATTATGCGTAGTGAAGATGAGTAAAACTCATCATTGTTATCATTACAGCCTATCATAAGTTAATTGCTGAATATAAACTTCTTTAATAGTTTGTCCCATAGGCTGGATATTTGGCACAGTCGCCACACTTGGCAGGTAACCAAAGCTGCCCATCATCTGTTCCTCTGTTTCCCTCTGTTGCCTCTTCTGTCAAAACACCCACTGGACGAAAGTAGATTTTGTTTACTACACAGCAAATGTATTTCTACTCACATTCATCACTATAGTTTTTCTCACATTTACTGTAAATGGAACTATATTTATAAAATTTTGAAAGCCTATATAAATAAACTTTAAACAATATCATCATCTATGGTGCCACCAAACATTGAATATGGGTATTGATATGAATAAAAAATATTGCCAATAAGCATTATGCCATACATTTAAAGACCATGAAATACATCTTTTTGTCAAATTTAAATTACCTTTACCCTTCATAAGTACACATTGGTATATATAACTGATATTAATAGTGATAGGTGAAGCATTATATCATAATTAAAAGACCATGAAATACATTGTTTTGTCAAATTTAAATTAACTTTTATTTAGTATAAAGTAAATAACACTATTCTCATTCCATGACAATTTACCCTGCATAAGTATACATCGGAATATATAACCGATATTAATAGTGATAAGTCAAGCATTATGCCATAAATTAAAAGACCATGAAATACATTGTTCTGTCAAATTTAAATTAACTTTTATTTAGTATAAAGTAAATAACACTATTCTCATTCCATGACAATTTACCCTGCATAAGTATACATCGGATTTTATAACCGATATTAATAGTAATAAGTGAAGCATCATGTCATAAATTAAAAGACTATGAAATACATTGTTTTGTCAAATTTAAATTAACTTTTATTTAGTATAAAGTAAATAACACTATTCTCATTCCATGACAATTTACCCTGCATAAGTATACATCGGAATATATAACCGATATTAATAGTGATAAGTGAAGCATCATGTCATAAATTAAAAGACCATGAAATACATTGTTTTGTCAAATTTTAATTAACTTTTATTTAGTATAAAGTAAATAACACTATTCTCATTCCATGATAATTTACCCTGCATAAGAATATATCGGAATATATAACCGATATTAATAGTGATAAGTGAAAAGCTTTATGCCATAAATTAAAAGACCATGAAATATTTTGTTTTGCATATTTAAATTAACTTTTGTTTAGTACAAAGTAAATAACACTATTCGGATTTCATGACAATTTATCCTTTATAAGTATACATCGGAATATATAACTATTAATAGTGATAGATGTTGCTAGACATATAATTTGCACTTGAAAGATAGCTTCTTACTTACTCTTAATCCAATTTTGTATATTAATATAATTCAAAAAAAAAAAAAACTAATTTCGGTGGCATACTTTTGGTGTAAAAAATATATAGGAATGTGTGGTTTTTTTGCTTTTTTATTATAAATTGGGGTATATTGATGAAAACAAATTACATTTATTTTATAAATGAATGATTTTTCTGTTTAATTTTTACAAATTATGTACAAAATACTAAAAAAAAATCGGTTTTCTAACTTTGAAATCGGCTTAATAAAATCTGTTAGGTTGTATTCAACTAAGATAAGTACAGAGTGATAGCAAATAATATAACAATTCAAATGACATAAGTTTTATATATAGCTCCCATACAATATTTTGGAGAAATTACTAATTTAATCGCAACGCGCCGATATCGCGGAAATTATCTGCTAATGCCTTAGCAGATGCGCATTATTTGCAAATGGCCGGCCGGCCAATGAGGGGTTAAAATGTTTCGGACTACCTAAGAACTTGAAAATGAGATTGTACATCCAGTGCATGCTGAGATGTGGTCCCTCACTGCTGGCCATATGAGGAAGCTCAAGGTCGCTTAGTGAGCTATGAGAAGGGCTATGCTTGGGGTTTTTCTATGATAAATTTTGAAGGGAGATTATCCACAGTAGAACCAGAGTAACCGATATAGGCCAACAGATTAGTAAGCTGAAGTGGCAGTGGGCCGGCTATATAACTTGAAGAACTGACAACCGATGGGGAAGCAAGATTCTTGGGTGGCAATTCGTTAGGGCTTGGGGCCTATGTTCAGCAGTGGACTTGTAAAGGGCTATAATGATGATGATGATGAATAATTATATCAATGTGGTCTATGAAATCTAATGCAAGACGGAGGCCATTTTGGATAAGATCACAAACTGTAGACTTCCCGGAGTGATGTTTCACATCAGCTGTATGTTTTTATATGGGTATAATAAGCTTGTTTTGTTTGTCCTATATAAAAGAGTCCACATTCACAATTAGGGATGGGCCGAATATGGATTTCACCGAATACGAATATTCGGCCGAACGTTCGGTAAAATTTTTACCGAACCGAATATTCGGCCGAACATTATTCGGCAGGATAACCTCGGGACCCAACCAATTTATGTCGAAACTTGTTACCGAACAGCGCGCGGGATTAGCGCCAGACCCTGCCCCTCGCTCCCCCGCCACACCTGACATGTTATTGCGTTATCTATTACTGAGCAAATTGCCGGCACATGCTTATGTTTTGACTATTCTTGTGATAAAAAAAGTATTTCGTTGTTTTATTGAAAATTGATAATTATATGATAAAAATGAGCGGCAGGAGATTTAATATTTGGACTTATTTTAGAGAAACTGACGACCAAAGTAAAGTGAAATGTACTAATGTAATGTAATGTTTTTTTTTGTTAGATTCCAAAAACATTTTATCAAGTTTCCATTTGCCATAATTGGAATTAAATCTACAGTTCCTCTAAAAACATAAATGTATAGATTTATGCATTTAAGGCACTCTAGGGTAAGTAGATTTAACCCATAAATGATATACGATTTCAACAGTAAAAGACATCGCATTACTCAATTCGTACATTTTAATTGTACACTATGAAAACGAATATTCGGTGATTTAGCCGAATATTCGGCCGAATACGAATATTCGGTAAAGCTGCCGAATATGCCGAATACCGAATATAAAACGAATATTCGGCCCATCTCTATTCACAATCAAGTTTGCACACTTCTGCCTCTTGTAAAAAACTTTCTTCACGCATGGAAAAGAATTGTTCAAATAAAAGTTTGCTTCATGGTGTAGCCAATCTTGCTTGTGACACTTTCGACATATGATATTTCCACAAGCACACACTCGACTGGGCCAGTTTTACTCGGTCACTATGACGTAGTCGCGGGAGCCAAACATTTTTTCCGTGCACAAATAAATCCACAATATTTTTTCTACAAAAATATTATCGTTGTTTACTGAGTTCAGGTAATTTTTGATAATTTGCGCAACCACTGAGTCGCTTAGTAGTCGAAAGAGATAAACGTCTTCAAACCCACATAGCTATGGTTATGTCTGTGACACATACATAATTTGTACCCGCATAGTGAACTTGACAACCATAACGGAGTGACGATACCATAAGTACGACGTGTACATCCACCTTATTTGAATATGCTAGCGCGTTAAGACTGCCGTCTACGCGGTATGACTATCGCGTTCGACTACAGTTTATTATAATAACTATGTATTTTAAAAGTCATGGACGATCCTTGACAGAACAGTATTGGATCATTAATTGAGCGTCATATCTGATTATCAAAAATATTTGGCATGAGAAACTTGATTTGAAAAAATATTTTATAACTTTTATTTTTCGAAAGTCTGTGTGGCTTTCAAAGAGGTTTTAAGATTTTATTCATAAAGATTAACGCTTTTTAATGATAGTACCTATATAAAAATAATTGTTAATCTGATAACCACAAGCTAGTTATACCAGTTACTCGACTCGAAAAAGTCCGTAATTCCCTCATTAATCTCATCACTCATAACCTCAATCTACACTCATAACCTCATCAATCATACACGCTTTTACAACAAAGTCCTAGAAAATATGCAGGACCTATCTATCAAAAAGTTTAAAATTTTTATTAAGCAAATTTTATTTAATAAGGGTTATACTACTAAATTCATACTAACCTAATTGTATAAAATAATATGTTGTAAATTTATGATAATATATAAAAAAGTCCCGCTGCGTTTCTTGCTGGTTCTTACCAGGACAGAGGTTTTATCGAACCAGTGGTATAGCATAAATGACTTTCAATAAATATTTTCGTAATCTATATTGAATAGAAATACTCCATTTCTATTCAATTCTATTATATTCTATTGTAATTATTTTAGTAAAGCATCAATATTTATAAAAAGTTACTATATTATGAGTAGCTTTTTATATGTTGGTTTTTGTACTGAAAGTAATTTTTAAAATAAAATTAGGTTATTTTGTTTTACAACAAGCAGTGCAACACAATTATGAGCGGCCTGGAGCACAAAGCTTACAGTGTGCGCTATGAAATGGTAATCTTAACTTGGCTCATCTTCATCTCACTTACGTCACTTGTCAACTCTGCCAGACTAATTTGCTCTGACATTCTTTTCTTATTTCACTCACGTCACTTGTCAACTCTGCCACACTAATTTGCTCTGACATTCTTTTCTTATTTCACTCACGTCACTTGTCAACTCTGCCACACTAATTTGCTCTGACATTCTTTTCTTATTTCACTCACGTCACTTGTCAACTCTGCCACACTAATTTGCTCTGACATTCTTTTCTTATTTCACTCACGTCACTTGTCAACTCTGCCATACTAATTTGCTCTGACATTCTTTTCTTATTTCACTCACGTCACTTGTCAAGTCTGCCACACTAATTTGCTCTAACATTCTTTTCTCATTCTGTCTTTCTATGTGTCCAAACCAGCAAAGCATTCCGTCCTTATTTCTGGTCACAATATCTTTTTGCATACCACACATTTTTACACTTTTCATGTCTATCCTTAAATCACACAACATAGTAATTACACAAACTTATCCAAATCCTTGACCAACTTCCCTAAAACACATTAGTTGTTCCCCGCGACTTCGCCCGCATGTAACTTGGGTTTTTTTTGCGTGGAATCCTAATTATTTTTCTAAACTAAAAGTAACATAAAACAAAATTTGTCTAGTCGTGTTTTTGTTATAGGTACCGTATTTACTTTCATAGGAATTTAGTAAGGCTGTATTTTTGACATAACAAACAGACACTTAAATTTTTTTTATTTGTATAGATAACGTTTTACTTTCCTCCCTTTCAAAAATCATCGCTATTGTCTTACCAGCTTTCAATTTAATTCCCCTTATCCTTCATTAATCGTTCCCATACATTTAAACAAGCTTTTAAAGTACATCTTCCATCTCTTTAAACTCGAATCTTCGCCATTTAAAATACAGCCTCGTTTCCCACTGCACTCATTCTAGGCTGTTCTGACTTTCCCCTGTGTAGGTTTGACGAGTTTCCAGAACAATTTTGTTTGTCTGGAAATTATAAACGAGCATGCATGCGGCTCAACTGATGGTAAGTGACTACCGTCGCCCATGAACAACTGCACCACCAGGGGAATTGGAGATAAAAAATGCTTAACTTTTAAACTTTTACCTTTTTACTTCGGACTCACTGAGATTTGTTTGAAAATATTCTACGTGGTAGAGCCATGCTGCAGTTATATTAGTAGTATAGTTGTAGCACGAATGGGTCGGCTCGACCGGGGAAGGACCACGCTCTCACAGAATACCAGCGTGAAATAGTAGCTTAATGCTGCTGTATTTCGTATGGTGAGTGTAGAGAACCGGAGACCCTTTTTACTGAAAATGAGGCATTCCATCTCAGTCGTCACGGGTGACAACGCATCTGCATTTTGATTTGTAATGGAAGATAGATGTAGATGTCTATGGGCCGCAGCAACCACTTACCATCAGGTGGACTGTGTGCTCGTTTGTCAGCCTATTCTATAAAAAAAAAATATATATTGTAAATAAGGTGTACCTACTAGCTGTAAATTATAGAAAAAAATCAAATTAAAATCACTCAAATGCGCAAGCTGCTCCCTTTTTAGCTTGGACATTTATTTCTTTGTATGCTATTTGTTTGTTAACTTTTGCGCAGGATTGTCTTTATGTTAATTATTAATATTAATATTAGTTTAATTATTATTAGTATGGTATGGTCGTGCTTTTTCAATAAATTCCTATATTTCCGTATAAAAAGTCCGTAATCATGATCGGATACTATATAACATGAACGTTTGAGTTTCCGATTTTATACTCCTGAAAACTTTTTAGTAAATGAAATAAAAAAAATCGTTGAGGATGTTCGTATTATGTTAATATTGCAAGTTTAGGTATTTGCAACAAATATTTCAGTCATTAGTTATGTGTAGTAGTGTTGTGTCAATGTCATTAGACTACATTAGTGGCAATTATTTTTTAGGTAACCGATATGCAGACTGTAGTTTTGACGCCAGATGCAATCGATCTCTTCCAATCGCCAACAATGTTCAATCACATGAGACGTCTGGCAAAAGAAAGGGACCATTATCTTCAGAACTGGGCGACATTGGTTCTCAATGAGGGGTTGTGTGATAGTGAAAATGAAAACAAAAGTAGCAAGAATCCCCCGACCCAGAACGTCAATCAGAATAACAGTGAGAGTCAACATTTGGCCGTTGAGCTTGCAGACTGGAAGGCACGTCTGCGAAAACAGAGACAGGAATTGTATGTATATTATACTTTTTGTATGAAATTAATCCTTATTTACTTATCCACTTTACCTGACTTATCCATGACGCCAAGAGCCAAGTTAAATGTAAGGCCTGTATTGCCCTGGTCATAATCTCAAGTTTAATAATATCATTCAATCAAAATTTTTGAGTTAATATAAAAATTATATATCCATATTTTAGGGAGGAAAAGTCGGAACAGCTGGCTGAATGTCGCGAGGAATTAGAACATACGAAGTTAGTATTAGCAAAACTGCGCTCAGACAGTCAAGAATGGTTTAATGAGGCAAGGAAAGCGGCAGGGTATAGAGATGAGGTTGACGCGCTTAGAGAAAAGGCGGAACGCTGCGAGAGGTATGTAAACTTTATTGGTTCCGGTTCTTCCAAATCACATAAACTGATTTAAAAATTATCGTCCCCTATGTTTCGCTTCGCATTGCACACTAATTACAAGTGCGTTGCGTAATCTGATCAAAAAATTCAACTGAAATTTAAAAGGATTGCGAATCTATAAATTTTCATTAAAAAAAAGCGTTAAATAAACATACTCTAATTTTCATAATTTTTGTAGTGATGTAGATATAATGAAAATCTAGTTCCGTAAGTTTTTATTTTAAAGAAATATTGCGTACAATATAAGTTAGCATCTAAATATCTATATTTTTGACTTAAAAACTTCCTCGAGCATTTTTATTACTTTTTAATCAAACTAAACTGAATTACTAAAAAAGAAAAACATACAGACCTTTATTAAGGTGCACTGAATCTAATGAGCACTAGTCTCATTTCATAAAGGTTGTAGACAATTGCTTCCAAGACTCAACTCGCTCTATCGTACGATACGAGGAGCGAGCGATATCGGCACTTTACAATCCTCTTAATGATTTTTAATAAAATATATTTTAAATTTTAATAATTTTATTTTACATTTTCTTTAAAATAATCCGAAAATTGTAGCGTGTCACGACAATGTAATCGAAAACTGTCAGAGAGAAGTAGTTAATTAATCTTGTTATGCTAGGAATAACCTAGTATTATTCTGCGCGCATAAGTAACATATAAAAAAGAGATAGCAACCTAATGATATTTGTACAATTCAAACGATTACCTAATGTAATTTTCAAAGTATAGTGTAAGTTGCCAGTCAATATATGGAGGTTCTGAAATGCTTATATAATAACACTATGATTTCTATCCAATTAGAGAGGTAAGTCGGTGACGTTATATCCTCGAAACTTCACTGCTGCATTGGAAGATTGGAAAGGATACAGTATCAACATCAATAAAGAATATATCATTTACCTTCGATTTGCCATCGATATAGTCACTACAGCAGAACCGCTGGAAGGCTTAGCACAATTATGCTCTATGACCATAATTATTTTTCCCAACGGATAGGCCTTAATATGAACACGGACAAGACAAAAATATTTCTAACGTCCATGTTTCACCTGTACAAAAAGTTGCTGGGAAGTCTGCTTGAAATTGTTGACAAATATATATTATGTACCCAGGAAGTAATGTCCGATTAGGTAAGTCCAGCTTCGACGAAGAGGTCACCTTGTGAAACCACGACGACAAGTCTTCATGTCTGGTATTCCTCCAAATCTAAAGACGAAAGTGTACTAGCTCGTGTTGATAAAGCTCAATCATTAATGTAATGCTCACGATGGAGAGCCTATGCTCGGAATTTCTCTGCGGGATAAAATCTGTAACAGGATTATCTGCAGAAGAAATTGACATCTCTTGTCTATTGCAACATAGCACCAGTGCATCCGCTATTGTTTTCTGATGAGTATAGAAAGGTAGTGTGAATATAGACTGTCTTCCGTCTTGGTCCTTAAAATGAGAATGCACGTATAGTCTTATTTGTTTGATCTACAACATGTATGGGCTTCAGGGATCATCATATATCATTTGGTGGACTGAAAGTATATCGAGTGTTTTAGACCAAAATGATCCAACAAACTGCTGAGCAGTTTAACTGTTGAGCACTTTGGCAGATTGTAAAACTGTAAGAGTGTAAATTTTATTGTGTTAAATAAATAATAAAATTACTTCAGTGCCTCTATGGCTGTCACAGTAGTTTATTTCACACCTAAAAAGGAAATTATTAAAATTGCATTATTTTTTATGCATATTATTTAATATTTTACGTAAAAAGACGCTTTATACGAGGGTTGCACTAAAAGTATCGGGAATGGAATATTTCCACTGTTCCTGTCATATTAAAATCTTTTTAATTGAAAACTCCTTGGTTTTAAAAATCGAATGCCATTTATTTATTTAAAAAAAGATTCTCGTTCTCGTCACAAGGTTTTGTCAAACTTGTCCAGTTGTTGAGAATGAATTATTATGACTTTTGAAGTGGTTTAACACAAAAACAGTATGTTGACCGGATGATTTCTGCATTTGGTGATGAAGCCCCATCCAAAACCACAATTTATCGCTGGTTTGCTGAATTTCAACGTGGACGTGTCAAGCTTAGTGATGATACCCGTCAAGGTCGTCCAAAAACTGCAGTCACCCAAGAAAACGTTGATGCTGTGCGTAAGCTGATTGAGGAAGATCGACATGTGACATACCGCGAAATTCAGGCAACTTTAGACATTGGCATGAGTCAAATACAAATAATCTTGCATGAACAATTAGGTGTAAAAAAGTTGTTTTCCCGATGGATACCGCATTCGCTCTGTGAAGAGTAAAAAGCGGCTCGCGTTACTTGGTGCGAACTCGAAAGATTTCAAGCTGAACTCTCGAAAGATTTCACGCAGGATCCTCAAATGCTGTATACAACATCGTATCAGGTGACGAATCCTGGATATACGCGTACGAATTCGAAACAAAAAACCAGTCACGAGTTTGGGTGTTCGAAAATGAGTTAAAGCCAACAAAAATTGTTCGTTCACGTAGTGTTGCAAAAAAAATGGTGGCCACGTTTGTCTCCAAAACCGACCATGTTACGACTATTCCTCTTGAGGGACAAAGAACGGTTAATGCAGAATGGTGGTTAGCATTTGTTTGCCACAGCTCGTTTCTGAACTCCGTAAAGAGAACTGCAACCGCCGCATCATCCTCCATCACGACGATGCGAGTTCTCACACCGCACACAGAACAAAAGAGTTTTTAGAGAGCAAGAAAACATAGAATTATTTGACCATCCGCCGTACAGCCCCGACCTAAGCCCTAATGATTTCTAACTTTCCCTAAAATAAAGAATAAATTGCGTGGACAAAGATTTTCATCACCTGAAGGAGCTGTGGACGCCTACAAAACGGCCATTTTGGAGACCCCAACTTCCGAATGGAATGGTTGCTTCAATGATTGGTTCCATCGTATGGAAAAATGTGTCAAATTTCGCGGAGAATACTTCGAAAAGCAATAAATACATTTTTAAATAGTAATGTTGTGTCACTTCCTTGATTCCCGAAATTTTCAGTGTCGCCCTCGTAATTGGATGTAGTTACGCAACAACGTTCCAACCCACACGATTTCTAAAAATGAGATAATTACACTAGTCTGCCCTATTTAACATGTACTATCTTGTGGTAGAAACATTTCAAGCGGTGTATTGCATTTAATACGACATTTCATTCTTGCCCCTATGATGCAATCCTCATTTTGGCATGACATGGCTCATTTAGTAAATTTAAAATGTGTCAAAACTGCTGAAACGTTTCAAATGAATGCAAATTGGTAAAAGCTGTTTTCACACATAAAATTACAATTAACAATTTCACTGGCGTTGGTGCACAAGATACTAATTGTGTGACTATAACTTGCGCTTGACTTTTTATTAATTTATATTATATGAATACTTAACTATAATCCCACTTGATTCTAGACTGGAGCAAGAAATACAAAGGTACCGTGATCGTCTCGCTGATGCAGAGTATTACAAAACCCGGGTAGCGGAATTACGTGAAGATAATAAGGCGCTCATGGACTCTCGGGACGTGTTGGAGGAGCAATTGCAACGTGCGCGGAAAAGGGCTGAACAGTGTCTATCATTGGAAGCGGCGATGATCAAGCTCAAAAGGGAAGCCAACGATATTGCTTTGGTAATTGTTAAATGTTATTAGGATGTGTCAGAAACACGGGGGTCAATCGCATCATGACTAGACTTGCGTAAATTTTTGTTTTTTTTTTTTGCTTTTGGAAATTCTGGATACATCACTTTTTTATGTATTGTGTGGGTAATTGGATATAAAAATTACTGCCCAAAACGTGGTAGACGCGTTTATCAAAGAATACACATTAACGACTAAATGGAAGAGAATATGACGCTGCTTTCTGTTTCCACTGGGTATTTGTCATTTGGCATATGTCGACTCTTACGACATCTACAGGGCATAGTGAGGTAAAGATTTTTTTTAAACTAGTTTCCTAGAAAAGCGCTGCAGTTAAATAGCGGTAGTAATATACCGGTCAAAAGAAATTTAAATAGAAGAAAATAAGTATCACACTTATGTAGAATACACATATACAGCTTAAAATGAAAACTTGATGTATGTGAACAGTAAATACTTGATGTATGTGTAAAGTAAATACTTGACTTGTGATATCATTAATTTAAAATTGTAATTGTTTAAGGAAAGAGATGCAGAACAACAGAGAATTCAAGAGTTAATAGAAGAAAATAACCATTTGCAATACATAGCTAGATCCATGCTGAGCGAAAGTAATAATAGTAATCTAGATACAGACAATGAATGCGAAAGCACGATTGAGTCTGGAGAAAATAGCCTATCTGAACAACTGACAAGTAATGCGCAAGCTAGAGCTTTAAAACTCGAGTTAGAAAATAAGCGCCTTCTTTCAACTATCGACAACTTGAGAGAACAATCTTTACTTGAAAGCAGTGACAAAGTTTTAGAATTAGAAAAAGAGAAAAAAAGGTTATCGTTAAAATGCGAGCAGCTACAAGAAAATTGTAACAGGCTTATGCAACAAAATTCAGAATTGGAAGAAGTGTTTAAAAATGCTTTAGAGGAAAATAGAAAATTGCAAGATTCACTAGACAGTAAAAAAGCATTTATAGATAGGCAATCAATAGATAGAGAATCCGAAAAAAATAAACTACAGGACTTTGAGAAACATTTAGAATCACTTACAAAAGATAAACAGAGAATTCAAATGCTATGCGATTCTATACAAAGAAGGGCTGATGATTTAGAAAAATCTTTAGACGCTAGAACGAAGGAACTGAGCGTCGTTAAACCTGAAGCTGATAAAGCAATGCGGCTTATTATCGAAACAGAAGAACTTAAGACAAAATTGACATACAGTGAGAAGGAAGCCCACAACCTTCAAAGAGAGGTAAACAAGTTAAGAGAATCTGTAGAGGAAAAAGATGTTACAATTGATAAAATAACTACTGATATAGAATTAAAAAACAAAGAAATTGAAAGAATAAAAAAAGAGTTAGATATAAGTCAGTCTTTGGTGACCAGACTACAAGACTTGGAGCAAAAAACACAAGAGTTAAAATCACATAAGAAAATTGATTCAGAAACTATTCAAACCCTTCAAAAAGATTTAATATTGGAAAAAGTAAATTGTGACAAACTCAGAAATTGCTTTGAAAAACTAGGTATCAATGCTTCTGAAGTGATAAGTAAAGAGTTTAACGTAGACGAATTACTAGAGAAAATAATTACCAACACAGATCATGAAAGTTTAATATCTGATATCGCTGCTAAAGCTAATTTGACTAAATTAGTACCTTGTGACTGTAATCATGGAAATAATCAAAATATAGAAGATAGCATTATTAATCCGCAAATAGAACAATTAACTTCCGACTTAGCAGCCTTACAAGTGACTCTAGAACATTGTCAAGCTGAGAATGCGAAATTACAAGTTAATGTTGCCACATTGAATTCACAAAATGGATCATTAATTTCGCAGCAAATGACTCTACAACTTGCAAACAGTCAGCTAGCAGCAGAAAAAGAGGAAATCCTTAAACAGCTTGAAGTGTTAAAAGATAAACAAGATAATCTCTTAAGAGACCAAGTTGCATTGCAGACTCTTCATGAACAATTGAATACAGAATATGAAACATTACTCAGTGAAAAAGAGCCAGTAAAAATAGCTGTGAGAGATTTGAAGATAGAAAATCGGGAATTACGAGAGAAACTAAGTAGTTACGAAAAGAAAATATGCGATTTTGAAGCCGAGAAGGAAAACATAAAAATCGAATCACGTAATTTAGCCAACTTAAGAGCAGAACATTCAAAATTAAAAGACGACTTCAGAAATCTTTTTACGGCCAGTGACAGATTGAAAAATGAATATAGGAATATGCAAGAAGAATATCGAAACTTGCGAAGTGAGGTAACGCAATTAAAATTAAAAAATACTGAAATGTCAGGTGAAATTAATACGAAAACTGAAATAATTACCAGTATGGAATTAGAAATAAGTAAAACCAATCAGCATTGTGAAATGCTAATTCAAATGAATAAAAGCTTAGATGCTGACAGAAGATCATTGATGGATCATGTTTCACAACTTCTAACCCAGTATCACGAATTGTTAGCTCATTCATTAAAAGACAAACAGCACTATCATGAAGAAGAGAAAATGTTTGCAGATAAAGTGAATGCTTTATGCCGTCAAAAAGAAAAATTAGAGGAAAAAATTATGGAACATTATAAAAAGCTTGATAATTGTACACCAAAGAGGCGTGGTTTCGGTGCATCATTCGTCAAAAGAGTAAGAAAAGCTGGTACTGATTTAATTAATAAAGTGCCTTCCCGCAACAATAAAAGAATAGAAGATAGCAATCGATCAAAATCGCAATTAACTCTAGCTGGTTCCGAATCTGGAGAATCTGATCCTGGTAGCCAGGATTACGACAAAACTTCTAAGAATGACCAAGAACAAGCATCATCTAATCAAAGTGTAGATTCACCAAGGCGTAGTTCAGACTCCAGCTACAACAGAAGATATGATGATATAATGAAAAAATCGGAAAATATGGAAAGTTCTTTTTCCAGTCTTGACCCAAGCAGATTGGCTGGAGGCGAAGGAAATTTTGCAAGACGGCTTTCTACTGCATCAACGCACAGCGGAGGTGGTGATGATGCTCTTATAAGAGCTTCCCTACGTAGAAGGCCACATAAGGCGGTACCTATTGCACATAGAAATAGCTATCATGGATTGGATGGAGATACTGGCTTACCAGCAGGTTTGTATATTTCGTATAAATTAGCAGTTAACAAATAAACAAAGCAATTGAAAAATACTGCAGATTTTGTGTTAGTAACAGTTACTTTAGTAAAAGTAATAGAAAGAAATAATAAAAGTTAAAAGTAAAGTTAGAGCCTATAATATGTCCCACTGCTGGGCACAGGCCTACCCTCATTTCTGAGATGGTCTTAGGGCAAGTAAGTGTCCGCTGCGCTGTCCCAATGCGTGTAGGCGAACTTCACATGTCTTCTAATATTTTTTTTTCTTATTCCTCAGACATGCAGGTTTCCTCACGATATTTTCCTTCACCGCCGAGGCGTGGTAAATCATATATCATTATACTGATATTAAACTGCTATTTAATTTTAGCTTCTACACCGTCACCGGTATTCGGGACGGCTGGTTCGCGTCGCACCGTTTACTTGACAGACGACAACCCAGATGTGACTCTTAATACAAAACCTCAGAGCACTCCCATTAAAGAGAATCCTACATATTTAATCTATAATAGAATATCAACTGTGATTGGGGACAATGCATGTAAAACCAACAATGATAGATCAACTAACGAACACACTCAACCTGATGTAACGCGTTCGACCGTTGAAGAAAATTCACAAGAGCAGGAAGAACGACAAGACAGAAGGGGAATAAATCGGAATGAAAAACCCGAAAACTCTAAGGAATCTGCCATTTGGTATGAATATGGTTGCGTATGATAATAAACCATAAGAGACTGACGACGCCTTTTAAATATTAAAACTGGGTAAATGTGATTTTCTTGTCAATATTTAACAATATTGACTGTAATGATATTTTAATATACCGTAATGATAATAATGACAGTATTAGTTAGGCATTTATCGTAAATTTCAACTTTATTTTGATCCATTATTTGTCTATAGAGATTATATTGAAGATAAAATTTTGAGGCTCACTATTTAAATTATTTTATCTTAGTAAATATCACGGAATATAAAAAACAAGAGGAAGTAGCAGAACGCATAATTTTTACCAGGACTTCTGCCGGCAAAGTCATCCATTCGCGAGAAAGAAATGTGTACCGAAAAATATTGTGCACCATTTCGGTAATTTCCGCAGCGATTGGCTATTAAAATAAAAGAGAAAGGCTTTATGTTACTCACCATTCGCTTGAGTATGAACTATAAGTTCTTAAAAATAGAGATCATATTTTTTTCATCAAGGAAGTTTCTAGAATCAATGAGCAAATTTAGCTTCTCATTGTTGATGTCGCAGTTATACCGCAATTATTTCAAAACGCACAATAAATTGTTACTAATACTCATTATGTCTTAATCCAAAAAGCTTTTAAGATGGACAAAAAAATTGATACGATGCTAGATGTCACAGTAAAGCCAGAAACAAATTATCGGACGCGGCTGACAGCCGCGATTGATAATTGTGCACAGACTTTAAGAGATGTTGCTTGCAGACGCATTCCAACGTTTATTTCACAAAGAACTGTATACAAAGAAACATGTCTAGTAGTTAAAGTGAGGACAATTTTCTTGAATTAGCAGCGGCTGCTTTATGTTGTCCACCCAGAAAGAAAACAAAAAGAAGCATTTGGGTACGAGACATAAATAAAGAAAGAACAAAGTCTGGTGAATTCCATACATTGTATTCACATTTAATTTATGGTTATACAATAATTCGCTGTTGCGAACGTAGACTAATAATTAAAACATAATTGATTGCGAACACACTCGATGATTCGTTCATCTATTTTTACGTTCATATATTTTTTGGCGCACATGCAAGCTCTCCCGTAGTCCGCGTCCCGCACCTCGTGCATACCGTCCGCGGACGTTTTCGGCTGACAAAAACATCCAGCGTGCTAGATTTCTGTTGGACGTCCGAATGCTCAAGATCAGTTCAAGGTTAGGTCCACGGACTTACCTCCGATAGTTTGCACAGCTCAGTGTACATTAATTATCTAGATACGTATAAGCCGCGGCTGGCAGCCGCGTCCGATAATTTATTTCCGGCTTAAAAGTACAATGCCAAAACAGACATAACGTTGACTGTGCATTACCTAACCCGCTACTGCTACGTGAATGATGTTTGTGATGTAGTTACTCTGCCTGAACGTGATCTGACTTTTCGATATTCAGTCGATATTAAAGTTTGAATAAACTTAAGATAAAATGAGTAAAATAACAAAACTTTGAAAATTGCCTTGATTTACTACGCCAATCACCGTAATTCATATAGTCGGCATATAGTTGTCATTGATGAAAATTTATTAACAGTTAGATTATCATTTTTAAAATGGAAACAAGGAGAATAATAAAAACAGTTATTTAAACAATTGTTTATTGTCCTTGAGACGTGCGTGTCGTGTGAAAAATTGTCGTTTTGACGCTTGATTATTTAATTTTAGATAACAGTGAATTCGGATACTAATGTAGATTATGATATTTGGATTACTTATATTTTTGGTTCTTCTCTGGCTTAGCAACCCTAACAAAAATGTTCATTCATAGAGTATCACCCTATAATTTCGTGTATTTTCGTAGACATCCAGTATTTGTACATTTTCATTAATATGTTAGTGAATAACAGGACTGAGATAAAATTTTAGCGATAACTCGGCGTAGTCAAAATGTATTAACAGATGAACTTTAGAATAACGAATTAAGGTTGTATATTACTTGTAATAAAGGCACTTTGATATTTTGTCCACGTTTCTATTTAAAAAGGATATAGGTGACTTTGGTACGAAACACCTCCATTCGTAATATTTTTCTGTTTGCTTTAGTTTTTACACTCTAATATCGCATAAAACTATTTCGCATCTATCACTTAAGTAGAGACACGTTAGCTCGCGAGCTCGCGATTTCAGCCTGTGACTGACAAAACAATATAGGCTCTAGAGTCCCTAATTGTGACACGCCTGCCCCGCTCACTTTGTGCTTCCTCTTGTTCTTTATATTCCGTAGTATGTATATATAATTTGAATAATTGACAAAAATTAAACATTACTTACTTGACTTGAAAACTACCTGTGGTACTTAACGTAGATTATATTTTAGCGTTTATTTTTAAGGATTTGCTATTCTATACGTACATAAGTTTTTATCGTTATATGTATATAAATATATTATATTAAAAAAAAAGAAAAATATGTTATTTAGTAAGTGTCTTGGTTAACTAAGTATGCGCATAATTATTATGATGATGATATTATGATTTAGATTTTTTAATTTCCTTTTAGTTTCAAATTTTTTACAAAATATATTAAGTAGAGCATTCGTAACCAACGTTCTCTAACCAAAATTCGCGTATTATTTCGATCCGTTGCAATAATTATAAGTGTTAAGCTTGGTAATGAAGAGAAGTAAAACGTTGTAAAAAAACCAGCATTTCCGGAAAATTAAAATATTAAACACACGGACTTCTATGTACCAAAATTCCTCTTAGAAGTAAAAAGTCTAGGAGCTGGGCTATTATTTCCTTTTTATTTAAAAAGAACCAGTCACAAATTTTTATTAAGTTGATAAATAGTATAATTCCTAAGTTTTAAGACATATCTTGTAAGCATTTGAAAACATATTATACTAGTGATTGCCACTAAAAAAATGTGACAAAAGAGAAATTTATTATTTTAAACTTTCCAGGTACTATGAAAACTTACGCTTTACAGTCTGTTGACATCTCTATTTATTTCTAAGTTAGATATGTACATTAGTAAGCATAATTTTGCTTTATCGAGCATTTTATTTAGCACAGTACAAATATCTATTTTAAATAATGTGTAAAATAAGGACAACATAGATATATCTTAATGTAATATGTAAACATATATGGGTTTAATATGCCACCCGCATATCTGTAACTTATAATCATGACCATTGTAAAAATACTATTAATAATTCCCTTTATATAAGACTGGATAATGCGATTGAAATAGTTCATTTCGTTTTTACTTTCCGTTTTTTTTTTAACCTGGACGAGATAAATGTAATTTATCGTCATTCATTTAAAAAATTAGAAGTTACAGTTTGTGATTTCTTAAATTGTGATATTGGTCTTGTCGAATGAATTAAATGATATTAACTTGTATGACATTTAGGAACTCTATTTAAATCACCGATCATTTTTATTTGAAATATGTAGGTTATAAATAACACTACTCTTTGATAGAAAGAAGTTCTGCTTTTCACATTTTAGTGCCTTATTTATTACATCAGTTTGTTCGTACTAATTTTTGGTGCTTTACAAATGAAGGTTTTCTCATTGAATATATGTTTCTTATGTTTAATGATTAAAACGTACTTAATAGGCAGCCTCACCGAATTGAATATTGAAAATAAATAAAAGTTTTACACTTTTTCAATTTTCATTTAATTTATGATATAAATTTCTTGACTTCCCAAAAACTGCAGCACGTCCATACGTACATACGTACAAACCTGACACACACCATGGTCCGAAATTACGTTAGAAATGTAAAAGTAAAGTTAAAGTTACAACCTATATACGTCCCACTACTGGGCTCAGGCCTCCCCTCATTTCTGAGAGGGTTTAGGGCAAGGAAGTGTCCGCCGCGCTGCCCAAATGCGTGTTGACGAACTTCACATGTCTTCGAAATATTTTTTTTTCTTATTCCTCAGACATGCAGGTTTCCTCACGATGTTTTCCTTCACCGCCGAGCACGTGGTAGCTCAGTGGTTAACGCTCGCTGTAAATATAACAGAACGCGAGTAACCCGGGTTCGATCTCCGCCGGCACCAATGAAATTGTTAATTGCAATTTTAAGTGCTGATTTACCACGTTAGAAATGTAAAAAGTAAAAATTAAAAAAATAAATAAGTAATAATCACAGTGTTCGAGCCACGCGGCAGCTTTTGCTGTTGCACGTATGGGCCGGCTTGAACCACGACCTCACAGGATACCACCGTAATAGCGTACTACGACGTAATAGCGTGAACCTCTGCGTTTCGCTTGGTAAGTGCAGGTGGCCGGAGGCCCATCCCCCCCCCCCCCCTTAACATGGTAGCGGATTCAATTAAAAACTACCCATGAGGGTACCAGCACATCCACGAATAAGCTACCCTACTCTTACTGAGCGTGGGTACTGAGGCACTTATGAATGGAGGAATTTATGAAGCATCAGGGGACTTCGTTCCAACTTTAACGCTGTTTATTACCATCTGGAGATGGCGAAGTCGGCCTTGCTCTTTTAAACCAAAACTCAAGTGCTCTCCAGCTGTGCTCCGGACTGGAGTTTGCGAATACGTTAGAGAGGACATCTGTTTTCAGTGCCACGGCAGTCTTGAAGATACGGACTTGTCACCCTATGGCTGCGCGTAGACAGCGACGACCATCCTCGCGTCTACGGGTGCCTCTATAGGTCCCATTGCGGTAATGCAGGAATAAACCGACTCATCGACTACGTCCAAATGGCTACAGATTCCGTGCTACAACTGATCCTAACCGCAGGGATCGCTATCCTTGGCGAACTTGACGCCCACCACGGCAAATAGCTCGGTTCACGCTAAATCGATCATGCGGGGAGATCTCTTCATGATTGCTTTGGCATATGGTCTGACGCAACTGGTTACTTCGCCTACGCGGATTTCAGATGTAGAAGATCATAAACCTTCCCTGTTGGACCTTCCGCTGACTTCTCATCCTGACGGATATCAGGTTTCCGTCGACGCCCCTCTAGGCTCGTCGGACCATTGTCTTGTCC